GAGGAGGCACAGGCCGTCCCGGGCCCGCAGGTCAGTGTGGAGGTGGGCGCTGCCGGCGGCCCCGGGCAGGGGTGGAGGTGGGTGGGAGTAGGATCCGGGAGCAGCGGGGAGGGGGCAGGGAAGGGGTCCGGGAGGTGGGTGAGGAGGGGGACGGGGCGCGGGCGTGGGCAGGTGGGAGGGAGGACCCCGCAACAGGCCCCGCCGCCTCCTCCTCGACGCCCCTCCTCTGCGCCCTCCATCCATTTTCGAGCCTGAAATGGGGAGGGGGCGCCCCCGCAGTGCGACAGTGAAACGTAGACATATTCTGCAACTAACCGCTCCTCACACTCTGCGCCTATGAGGAAATAGCGACCTCCGCGAAAAGGGGGTGGGGGTGGGGGCGGGTTGCCTGCAGGAGAGGGGGACACAGAGACCCAACCAGTTTGGAAAGCATCCTGGTCTGGCGCCCGAGGCCTGAAAGGTAATGGCGGCTGGGATGCGGGGGAGGTAGGAGGGAAACGTTGGATGAGGAGCGCCCGGAGTCAGAAAAGAACCCTCAGTCCGCTGAGCGTGCAGCCCCTGCCCCTGTCTGCTGTCTGTCTGCAGGTCTTCGTGTCTGTTCCCAGCACTCTGCTAGGCTAGAAAAGGAGGAGGAACCTGTCCAGAAGCCCTGCAGGTCAGTGAAAGGGGGAGGGGCACTGGACAGGGACACGAGGGGAGTGGTGTGGAGGGCATGGCCTGGGCAGAATTTGAGGGCCCCACTGCGCATCCCACCATCACATATAATATACACACACCTCGCCACGCTGATAGGTGGTACAGAAGGTGGTAGGGCCTGCCAGGGAAATGGTTGGCTCTCGTGTGTGGGAGGAGTGGTGGGGTAAAGGGTGGGCAGAAGGCACACTTGGAGGCCGAGCCTGGTCAGGGGAACCCTGAGAAGGGACGAGATGCAAGTACGATCCGGACCTGCATTCCACCCCCAAACCCCCAGTCTCCCTTGTCTCCTCTTCCCCTTACCCCCAGGACAGGAACAGGAGAGGAATTTTCAACATGGAGAAACTCTGCAATGAAAATCAAGGAATGCCTGAGTACCAAGGAAAGATGAAAAACAAAGAACAGCCACTGGATACGGGAAAGCCGGAAGTAGCTTGCATTCTGGAAGACAAGGAAAAGTTAGAAAAGAAGGGAAAGACAAATCACAAGGGAAAGACAGAAGGTGAGGAAATACTAAAAGATAAGAAAACACCAGAGAGTGAGGGAAAGCCGAAAGAAGAAGAAAAAGCAGAGAGCCAGGGAAAGGCAGAGAGCCAGGGAAAGCCAAAAGAAGAAGGAAAACCAGAGAGCCAGGGAAAGCCAAAAGAAGAAGGACAGCCAGTCAGCGAACCAAGGGCTGCAGGAAAGCACCCAGTTGGGGATGATGTACCCAGGAAAGCCAAAAGAAAAACCAACAAGGGGCTGGCTCAGTGCCTTAAGGAATATAAGGAGGCCATACACGATATGCATTTGAGCAATGAGGAGATGATAAGAGAATTTGACGAGATGGCTAGGGTGGAGGATGAGGTGAAGAAAACCAGACAGAAATTGGGGGGGTTTATGTGGATGCAAAAAAGCTTACAGGACCCCTTCCACCCGAGGGGTCCAAGGGAACTCAGGGGTGGCTGCAGGGCCCCACAAAGGGGCTTTGAAGACATTCCTTTTGTGTAGTGCCCTGGCCGGTAGGTGCCAGGCCCTGTGCTTTAACCTTAGGCTGATACTTTACTTTAGGTGTCACTCTTGTTACTAGCAGCCTTTTAATCCAACTACAGTGCTCTGTCTATCAGTAGGGGATTTTCACCCATGTGCATTGCAAAGACGTTATGATTCTTGGAAAAATAAAGCAGCTTATAATATCATCTATAGAATCAGTCCACTTTTGTAAAAGATATAAATTTATAGAGTACATCTATGCACAGGAAAAATACAAAGTTTTATTCACTAAAAGGTTAACAGTGGTTTTTGGAGTTGTGAGATTGTGGGTGATTTATTTTCTTTGTTTTCTTTCTACTCATCTGTTTATTTTTTCCTAAAGAACACAGATTACTTTTCTCATAAAGAAATACTAAAATGACAAAAAGGAAAACAATATATAAAAAGCAATACAAAGAACTGTTCAGTGAGTTTATGAAGGCAGTGGAGACACTTAAAATTCTTGTTGTCAGAACTTAAAATAATATGTGAGACTCACATTAACTCTGGGACTCATATCTGGAGTTATAACAGATTCATTGCTGTAAAAAACAGTCTTGTCATCCCTGAAATGGGGTTAATACTTGCCTCACAGGATTGCTAAGTGAATTAGATGAGGTGCTGAGTAAGTGAGCTGTGTTGGGCTGGCTTCTACCTTTTCCCCTACTCTAGCAGAACCAGGACCCCATCAGACCCTTGGAAGAGGGTTGAGGTACATCTCACCTATGCTCAGGAATAAGTTCAGGAAGCCACAAGGTGGGTGCCACCCTCCGCTAGGTACTGCCATGTCTGCTGGGCACTGTGCTCCTTCTCAGGAGTCCTGCACCCCCTTAAGGCCCCCACTGCTTCTGATGGGCTGGTGTCCTCACAGTGACAAAGCCCAGTTGATTTCCCTGGAATCCCCAGTAAGCCCAAAACCTACCTCACCTCATGACACCTAAAGAAGTGAGGATAAAGCATTTTTCCTTACTTCAGAGTTATACTTACCAAGTGGGTAACACCTCAGTGATGCTTTGGCCCCTAATAGATTTCAGATTTTTTTAGCAAAACAATCCGTTCTGTGTTTGTTGCTTTGAAAGTCTGTTTTTGCAAACAGACATCTTTCCACCAGATTCAGATATGGGAGGCTGGGATAAAATTTGAGTGGCACACACTGTTTTTCTCATCTGTCAGTGCCTTGTCTGCTTGATTCCTCTTTTCTTAGAGGAAATTATCTCCCTAGGAAACTCCTGCCAGGTCCTGCCTTACAAGGTTAGCACACCTACCCACACTTGCGGTTTTTAGAGCATCGCTACTCAAATAGTGGTCCATGGACCACTGCATCAGCATCACCTGAGAGAGAGTTAGAAATGCAGACTCTCAGGTCCCCATCACAGACCTACTGAATTAGAATCCTCCTTTTAACAAGATGTGCAGGTGATTTCTGTGCACATTAAAGTTTGAGAAGCACTGGTTTATAAGGAGACTCTACCTTTAGCCTTCTCACTTCCACCTTCACATGAAATATGTGCCTAGAAGGATAAATACATGTGCTACATAAGATACACATCACAGATTATAAAATAGACCCGTGTTTGTCAAACTGCAGTTCCACACTCCCTACATTACTAGATCCTGAAACAAATTCAGTGTGTCAAGACCTGCAATTTTTTAATGAAGTAAGGTAGAATAGGATTAGAGCCAAATAGTAAATATCAGACTATATTGCAGGTAGAGTATTGTTTTGTGAAATTTGTGTTTCAGTTATGTATATATGTATGTTTGTATACCCTGAGTCGTGATGAAAAATGTATTTCTGATTGTGGGCTGAAGTTTTTAAAAAATTGAGAAATACTACATTGGACTCTGCTTCTCAAAGCACAATCTGACCTTTCCATTCTGGTACCTCTAATGCCTAGCACAATGCCTGATAAGTAATAGGTTATTGAAAAAATTGTAAATAATAATAGCTGAGTTAGGAGTTCTTGCCACAGATCATTCCCAGTCTAGATAAATAACTGTGGACTCAGGGCTGGCCCAGTGGCATAGCAGTTAAGTTTGCGCGCTCTGCTTTGGCGGCCCGGGGCTCACGGGTTTGGATCCCGGGCATGGACCTACACACTGTTTATCAAGCCATGCTGTGGCGGGCATCCCACATATGTAATAGAGGGAGATGGGCACGGATGTCAGCTCAGGGCCAATCTTCCTCATCAAAAAGAGGAGGATTGGGCCGGCCCCGTGGCTTAGCGGTTAAGTGCGCGTGCTCCAGTACTGGCGGCCCAGGGTTCAGATCCCGGGTGCACACCGACGCACCGCTTCTCTGGCCATGCTGAGGCCGTGTCCCACATACAGCAACTAGAAGGATGTGCAACTATGATATACAACTATCTACTGGGGCTTTGGGGGAAAAAAAAGGATTGGCAATAGATGTTAGCTCAGAGCCAGTCT